CTCCCCTCTTCTTTTCTTTTCTTTTCTTTTCTTTTCTTTTCTTTTCTTTTCTTTTTTTCTTTTCTTTTCTTTTCTTTTCTTTTCTTTTCTTTTGGAATGGGGAATATTTAGCAGCTAGAAATCCCATAGGTGAAACAAATTTATCGAAGAACTATTGGATGGAGATTATTTAATTTATTGTGTAGTAAATCACCATATAAAATATGTATTTAGAAAAAGTAAAACCCATTCTTTAATAGGTTTACTCTATTATAGTAATAGATTAACTCTCTAATAATAATAAACCTATTATTCTCTAGTGGCTTATATTAATTTATAGTTTTAAAAATTTTCTTGTTATTGTCATGTTTATACTAAATTACTCTAAATAAAAAACAAACAATTATTTGGTAAATAATTGACATTTTGTAATTACAGACCTTCCCTGGCTGTTCACTTTTAATGTGAAATTTTATCCTCCGGATCCTTCTCAATTGACTGAAGATATCACCAGGTACTTTGCATTTACATTTTTTAAATGCATCTTTGCTTATGACTTGTTTTATTGCTATGCTCCGTGAGCATGGCTGTAACTTTAGGACTGAAAATCAAAGCAATAAGAATGTATGGTATAAGATTTTGCCTGCATATCTGTATGTGCACTATATGCATGCCTAGTGCCCCCAGGGCAGATGGGGGCGGGTGAGTCACAGGCCACTCTGAGCCCTAGATGGGTGTGGAGAAGCAAAGCTGGGTTCCCTATAAGAGCCCTAAGTGCTCTTAACAGCTAAGCTGTATCCATTCCCTACACACACACACACACACACACACACACACACAGGCTTGTTTCCTCGCTTGCTTATCATTGTGTTTGCGGGAGTGCATGCTGGGGTACACAAGTGGAAGTAAGAAGAAACTTTGTGGGGTGCGTTCTTCTCCCACCTCGATACAGGTTCTAGGGGTTGAATCCAGGACATTAGGCATGTGTCTTTGGGCTGCAGGTGCCTGTAGCTACTGAGCCCTCACAGTTGCCTCAAAGCAGCGTTGAAAACAAAACAAAACAAAACAAACTTAGATGTTTACTTAAAAAATGGATCTTCTTACAAAGAGCTGAAGTATTGCCAGTTTCAAAACTTTACACACACACACACACACACACACACACACACACACACACACACTGTTCTCCCTTTATATTAAAGTCATAAAACACTTAAAATATTGCTGGCAGCTTAGCTTCCTATGTTATATGTATGAGTAAAGACATCCCTTTAGTATTTCAGATTCTAATGTGAAAGTATTTTTTTAATAGTATACTCCATGTTTGCCTGTGTTCGTTTCAGTGTACAGATGTCATATGGACATTTATTGCCGAGATTGGAAAAATGGCAGGCGTGTTTTTTTTTTTTTACCTTGCTACCTGTTGCTAAATACCAGCACACTGCTAATTAATTACTACTCATATTTTAATCATGCCTTGATTAAATTAGCTCCAGCTAGTAAATAATAAATAGTAGCTTTTGTAACTGCACAGTGATTTGCTTAGGGTATAATCTCTGGTGTGTTGGAATGTAGGGGTAGAGAACAAGGAAAGGGAGAAAAGTGGGTCTTACAGTCATGGGTAGAGACAACAACAACAAAAGATGTCTATTCTCTTTATTAATTTAGACTTAGTTTTTAAAATAAGCCACCAGTGTAGGAGCAGGCTGAACTTCATGTTATGCAAAGGCTATTTTTGCTGTGAATATAAAGAGTTACTAGGTGTATGTTTGCAGTGGATTACTAAAGTTTAAGGAATTGAAGGTGCTCTAACGTTAACTAATGTTTCTTCTCCATCATTTTCTCTTCCTGCTCCCTCAGATATTTCCTGTGCCTTCAGCTGCGGCAGGACATTGCCTCTGGCCGCCTGCCCTGTTCCTTTGTGACTCATGCCCTTTTGGGATCCTACACACTGCAGGCTGAACATGGAGACTATGACCCAGAAGAGTATGACAGCATGGATCTTAGTGACTTCCAGTTCGCCCCATCCCAGACCAGGGAGCTGGAAGAAAAGGTGGCAGAGCTGCATAAGACTCACAGGTCTGTTGACCTGCTAGCTGGAGAGACCAGCGCCGGGACAGGGTGACATAGTTTGGATACTTGCTGGATGTTGGAGGCCAAGTTTTTAGCTTATCTCCTTTCTCCTTCTGGAGCTCGCCCAGCACTGATGGAGACAACCAGCAGCTAGCTTTTGAGATGTCCTTTTAGTGTTCTTCTTACTGTAATATGGGGATTGTGTTCTTGAAACTACACTCTTTTATCAGAATAATGTGGATTCCCATCTGACACTTCCTTCTCTGTCCCATCCTTAACAGACACACAGGAAGCAGACTTGGGTATACTTGGTTTGGCCTTACTTTACAATTCATCTGCTTCTTAGTATCTCTATTCCTGTATTTAATAAGAAAACCAGGGAGGTAGTGGGGTTAGATGATATCAAAGCACATTATATATGTGTTTGAGACTTTCAAAAAATGAAAATAATGATTTTTTAAAAAACTAGGATAGGTTGAAGCATCTGGATTGGAATGATAGATGATGATGGGTACGGGATAGCTGAAATGTGCAGCTGTCCCGACAAGCCACGGAACATTTGGTTTAGGTGAGGATGACACAAATTACTTGATTGTCGTGTATACCTTGAATACTTTCCTATTTCTGTCAAAATGGAGTTTACATAAGTTTTCAGAATCTCTCAAAACTACAAAATGTTTTATATTTTCAAGCCATAATTTTATGAAATTTTGACTAAAACCATTTGAATAACTTTCACAGATTTAAAATGCTTAAGGGGCCTTATACATTGACTTTTGTTTAAAAAAATTAAAAAGATCAGTATTTGACTTTATTTCTGTATTTAAATTCTACTCAACAGACATTTATTCTGTCACTCAGATTTGAGGTGCTAGGTATGAAATGTTATGTTGGAAATGAAGACTGTTGGGCCAGAGCCCTGTTAGTTTATGTTGCGCCCATTATTGCCCAGTCTTCTTCCCCAGTGAGAATAATGGAAAGCATCATTTTAAGGATAAAAATGGCAAGTGTAGAAATTGGCCTTCTTGACCTGAGCAGGCTAAGATGAAATGACCGTAGTAGGAAGTGGTAGAGACGGAGCTGCAGCTTGTCTCTCTCTCTGAGTTACTCCCTGCACTCCCAATCAGACACACTCCTGTATCTGTTTTGAGCATATTTGCATCTCTCGGTAACACAGTTTCTTTTGATTCTCAGAGGCTTATCTCCAGCACAAGCTGATTCTCAGTTCTTAGAAAATGCAAAGAGGCTTTCCATGTACGGTGTTGACCTGCATCATGCCAAGGTATTGTAAATTCAGTGGGAATAACATTATTCCAGTTTAGCAACTGTTGTTCTAGGAAATCTTCAGTTTCACAAAGCCTGGTTCATTTTGGAAAATGCTGTTTGTCTCCACTTGAGTCTTCAATATTTCTTGGTGACCACTTACAAAATTCCTGAGTGTGGGAATCACCTCTCCTCTCCCTGCTTCTTCTTTCATCATTGTTTTGTTTCCATTTTTAAAAATTTATTTTACATACCAACCACAGTTTCTGCTCCCTCCTCTTCTCCTGTTCCCTCCCCGCTCCTCTTTCCTACCCCATCCCCCCATCCACTCCTCAGAAAGGGTAAGGCCTCCCATGGGAGTCAACAAAGCATGGCATATCAAGATGAGGCAGAACTAAGCTCCTCCCCCTTCATCAAGACTAAGCAAGGCATCCCGCCATAGGGAATAGGTTTCAGAAAGTCAGCTCATGTGTCTGGGACAGATCCTGGTCCCACTGCTAGGGGCCCCACAGACAGACCAATCTGCATAGCTGTCACCCACATGCAGAGGGCCTCCGTCGGTCCCATGCAGGCTCCTTAGCTATCTAGAGTCTGTGAGCTCCCAAGAGTTCAGGTCAGCTGTCTCTGTGGATTTCATGGTCTTGACCCCCCCCCCCCCTTTGCTCATATAATCCCTCCTCTCTCTCTTCGACTGGACTCCAGGAGTTCAGCCCAGTGCTTGGCTTTGGGTCTCTACATCTGCTCCCATCAGTTATTGGATGAAGGTTCTACGATGACAATTAGGATAGTCACCAATCTGATTAGAGCAGAAAACCAGTTCAGACACCCTCTCCACTATAATTGCTAGGAGTCTTAGCTGGGGTCATCCTTGTGGGTTCCTGGGATTTCCCAGGCACCAGGTTTCTTCCTAACCTCATAATGTCAACAAGAAGTCTCTTTTGTTGCTCTCCTTCTCCATCTCTCCCCCTACTCAACCATCGGGATCCCTCATGTTCCCATCCCCTTCCTCTCCTTCCTATCCCTTCCCTCTACCCCCAGTTTCCCCAGGAGATCTCATCTATTTCCCCTTCCCAGGGTGATCCATGTATCCTCTTAAGGTCTTCCTAGTTTCTCTGGAACTGTGGATTGTAGCCTGGTTAGCCTTTGCTTTACATCTACTATCCACCTATCCATTCTTCAGTTTAGGGGCATCTAGGTTGTTTCCCAGTTCTGGCTATTTAAAATCAATGAACATAGTTGAGAAGTTTCCTCAAGTGTTTTAATGAATGCCCCTTTGAGAGTTCTTACCACAGAACTGCCTTTGGTAGCCTTAACACCTTACCCTGAGGCCATGGTTCATGCTGGGTCCTAGCTTCTGCTAGACAAGTGGTTCTCAACCTGTGGGTTGCAGCCCTTTGTGGGTCGAATGACCCTTTTATATAGGACACTTTTCATTGCAGCTTTATTTACATTTATTATCCCCCCCCCCCTTCAGATCAGTAAATAGTCTCTGGTAACATCATGTTTAAACTGCTGGATGATACAGAACTTTTAAGATTTAAAAAAAAAAACACTTCCACATAGACTATCTTTTCGAAATTTGAATGTATTTATTTTATAAATACGTGAAATAGTAAAGAGAATGACTTGTCTAATGTCATCTATTGCTGGCTGTCAGCTCTGCCTAATACTCTTTGATAGATGCTACTAGGTAGTAAATTTGCTCTGTCTGATGCTGGAGGGTTTTGTTGGACACCCCCACCCCCACTCCTTGTTTGGTTAATGAAGAAACCAAAGGATGAGAGAGGACAGGTCTGAAAAGATTCTCCCATCTTTACTTCTTTCATTTCTGTTTATTTTGCTATATATGATTTTCTTGAGAGGGTGGGAGGACTAAGGATTGAACCCACGAGGTAAATCCTCTACCAGTGAGCTACACCCTGCAGCCTTCGCTGTATGCAGCTCTTCTATCTCCTTGCTTTGTAGATCATCAAGTAAAAGCCAGTTCTTAGGGAACTACTGCAAAATGTCAGGATTCTTTTCTCTTAATACTAGAGTGTTAAAAGGGAAGCTTGATCATGAACGTAATGTCAGGTTTCGCTGTGCGGTTAGGAACAGAACAATAAAGTGTCATTATTCATTATTTATCATCTGTTAGAACGAGTTAATAATCAGCATATTTGTGGCTCATGGAAAAGAAGTCCTGTAGCAGTTTTAAAGTATGTGCCATGTAAAATTTTATTTTCATAAAACATTTTTCCTGACCTTGAACTCACATTCTTCTTCCTATCTGAAGCATTAAGATAGCAAACTCAAGTTAAGACAAGTTCAAGAATGTTGAATGGAAAGTCTTGACGAAGGGGCATGAAAGCACAGAGAAGCAGGGACCCTGAGATGGTGTCAGTGGCCCACCTGCACCCTCTAGTTCTGCAGGGTGGAAGGCAGAGTGGCCGCTGGGACCTGGGCAGAAGCTGGTCTGGAGAGGTTTTCTGCAGAGGAACTACTGTCAGAACCAGCCAGCTGATGTGACCACACAGGGAGGGGGCCTGTTCACTTAACCCCTGACCTCCTTCCCTTTGTCTCCTTGATCTTGGGCAAGACCTCTTCAGCATCTCAAACCTCTTAGAAGACCATCCACACCGCACAGCTTCCTGAAGAGCAGAGCAGAGGGTAACTTTTGTAGTCAGGTGTTTTTTTACTGTTGCTGAATGGCATAGCTCAGACATGGGAGATTAAGAAATGCTTTTCCCCCTTTCACTTCATACCCTTTATCAGTAATTCTGTTCTCACAAATCCTGATAATCTAAAACAGTATGTGAGCCAGCCAAACCTCCACCCGTCTGCTTGAATACTGGTAGGATTTCTTTTTAATTAAAATAAAAATAGTTCTTTGTCCTGTCTAAAGATTGCTTCAGACTAGGTGGAGCTGGCTTTGTGAGTGTTTGCAGTGAGTGTTGCCTCCTCAGCTATGTGAGAACATGCCGTTTTCTGCCATCTCTTGCCCTCTCTCTTTGGCCAGGGGTAGTGATGCTTTTGGCAAATAGACACTTTGAGTTTGGTGCCAACTAGTTTGGGCACCTGTGCCTAACTCACCCAGCTTTATCTGCTATTCCTAGAGAGAGTTGAGGCTGCCAGGATACCAGAGAATAGAGTATTGGTATTTTAAGTTTTTAATTTTTTTTTTTTTTGAGATCGAGTTTCTTTATGTTTTTTGGTGCCTGTCCTGGATCTTGCTCTGTAGACCAACCAGGTTGGTCTTAAACCCACAGAGATCCTCCTGGCTCTGCCTCCCAAGTGGTGGGATTAAAGGCGTGCGCCACTGCCGCCCGGGCTGTTTTTAAATTTTTTTTAGAGTTGTGTATTTGATATGTAAGTGACCGTTCACATGCTGTGGTGTACACTCCATGGTGCATGTGGCCGTCAGTGACAACTTTGTGGAGCTGGTTTTCTCTGTCTACCTTTATGTCAGTTCTGGGGATTGAACTCAGGTCATCAGGCTTTTACAGTAAGTGTTTTATTGGCTAGGCCATCTTGGCAACCCAGTGTTTCAGAAACTGCTCAATGTGCTGTAATGTAATTTTATTTGTGTTACTCAGGTATCACAGCAGATAATGAAATTAACATCTGTAGGCTATACTGTACTTCTATTTTGAAAACAAAAAAACTATAACTTGTGTTAGATCATTCTTAGTAATGATGCCGCAAAACACTTTTTTGTTACTGAATTGGGACTTAGACTTAATGTGCTGTTTGTCTTTGCTTTGTGCATGTGAAAATTTATCCTCCGTTGTTAATGATTTTTTAAACTGTACAACTCTGAGTAGCAGTGTTGAGTTTGTCTCTTGACTGAGATCACCTGCACCCTGCAGGGTAACTGCTCATGTCCTTTGAACATTGTGTACCTCTTCTCTTCCGCACTGTGAAATACGAGGGGAAAGTTATTCCTTTCTCCTTTTTAAAACACACTTTAGGCTGTCAGCTTTCTGCTTTCGTCTGTACCTAAGTGAAACCTTTTCACGCCCGTGATTATTCTATATTACCATCGATTCCAAATTAAATCTCTGGGAAAAGAAAACTAATAATAACTTCAGAAATTATCTCTAGTCCTTTGCAATATGTCAGCTGAAGGGATGCTTAATGAGAACTGCTTGTCAGCACTTAAGTTGCTGAAAATGCTTGAAAGAATTCAGAGCTTTCAACACTGGCAGCCTAGAAGAGAGATTTTCTGTGGATTGGTGTTTTGCAAAATACAGGTATAATTCTAACAGCTGTCAGTTAGCATAGCAGTATGCCAGCAGACTGTCCACGAGGGTTGGACTTGCTCCAGGGAAGCATTCTATCTTCCGTATCTTCGAGATGCTGAACTTTGGGTCTTTTTTCAGAGCTTTCGAATACAGAAATTGAATTTTTTCCAGATTTTTATATCTTTTAAATGATATTTCTATAGTTCTTTGTAAATTCAACCCAATTCCTGAAGATGAATCATTTAATATGAGCATGTGTTCTACTCTTGGAATTAACTTAGGCACTGTCACTAAAATTTAAGTACGAACATGTTGACATTTTCAATCATTTGAGGTCTGCTTTGCCTCTGTCTATGTAACTTGTCATTCTAACTGTTGAATGGTTTATACTTGGCAGGACTCTGAGGGTGTGGACATCAAGCTGGGTGTGTGTGCTAATGGCCTTCTCATTTACAAAGACAGACTGAGAATTAATCGTTTTGCTTGGCCGAAGATCCTGAAAATTTCCTATAAGCGCAGTAATTTCTACATTAAGGTTAGACCAGCAGAGGTAAGCAATGCCTTATACCCTTGGCTTAGCTAACACACTATCAGTGTTTCCTTTGCTAGTAGGAGAGATGAATGAATTCCTGCCATGAAAATACTGCAAAAAGAAGCTCTTCTTTGTTCTTGTGTGGTACACAAGCCAGGGTTCTTGATGATAACCTACATACGAACATTCCTGTTTCTGATATACACAACCACTATATCTTTCATAAGAAGGGATCTTTTTGTGACCCACCTCCCACCCCCACGCACAGTGGGAGCTCATTTTTTTCTGTTGACTCAGTTAAGTGATGGAATGTGTTTTAGTGGGAATGAATAGTCATTTCACATGGGCAATTAATACTTGCTTTTCATAGAAGCAGTATCACAGTCTGAAATTTTTTTATTTTGTCTGACTATAGATAGACTAATACTTTCTAAACAAGAATTATTCCTGATAGAAATTCCCGAATCGGTTTACAGTAGCATGTAGCCAGTGCTTAAGGAATCGGCTGATTTTGTTTTACGGATTTATTCCAGCTGGAGCAGTTTGAGAGCACCATTGGATTCAAATTGCCAAACCACCGGGCAGCTAAAAGGCTATGGAAAGTATGTGTGGAGCATCACACTTTCTACAGGTAACTTGAACAGTCTCGTGCAGTTGCTCTTGGTACCCTGTCCAGGTTAGGTAGAATGGATACCATGGCAGATGTGACTGTGCCCTGCCTCAGGGTTTCTGACTCTGCTGGAAGCCATGTTTCATGCTGGTTGTTTCTGTTACCTGAGGCCGTGCTTTGATCTGCCTCCTGGTTGTCACTGTCTCCTTCCACCACCCCATCCTCACACCACCTGCTGCAGTCCTTTCTGTCATCACTTATAATTCAGAGTTTTTTCTTACCAGCTCTTCTGGACTTAACCTCTTTCTTAATAGGTTTTCTGTATCGTGATAATAGGTTTTTCCACTGACACCGTAAGCCAGATCAAGCCAAATTGAAACAGTAAAAGAGCAGGTTTATTTGAGCAAAGTAACTCCCAGGTGAGTTCTCCAGCCCGAGATCCAGGCAGGAGAAGTCACAGGGAACTAAAGCAGGGAGGTCATATAGCCTGTAGGTGAGGGGTGATGATGCGTCTGCCACAAGCTGGGTTTGTGCCCAAGTCTGGTCAAAAGCTGACCGCTTTAGGTGGGGACGCGGCTGCTGGCAACTTCAGGGGAGGAGCTGCCGCAGCCGCCAAGAATAAGGAACTGGGCTTTCTGGTGTCTTCTTTTTGTTGGAGACTCCCCGAAAGGGAGGGGTTTGGAGAGACAGAGAGAGACAGGAAAAGGGCTTTTCGGATCAGCAGGAGTGAGCTGGAGGTTCCAGCCGAACATTCTCGGTCAGCTGGGGCCCCGCCACTGCTCTCTTTGGTGGTTTGGTCAAGACGGTCTGACGGTCCTCAGGCCCCTCCCCAGCACAGCCGCTTCCGCAGTGTGCGGCTGTGGGTCCATCTGACGGCCTGACCGTCTGACCGTCTGACGGCCCTGACGGCCCTACTTGGGCGCCTGTGTTGTCAGCCGTAAGGAAGCCGCACTCCTGCTGGTGGTCGGTCCAGTAACACAACCTAGTGGGTTGACGCCACTTCAGAAAGTACTTTCCACCATTAACTGGGTCCTCGCTTCTTGCCGGCCAGCCGGTCCTTTGACCTCCCTTGTCCTCCAAAATGTTCGTGATCTTCCAGAGCCTTCCATACAGCCTCTCCTCAGGACTGCGCTAGGTGCAGCGCATCCACTGTAGAAACTGGGGTCACGAGGTCTCCACTTTGTCTATTGTCTTTCCCTCCTAATTTATTATCTTGTCATCACACCACCTTCACTTTTAAAAAACCTTCTCCTTTTCAAAGAATGGATAGACATTGCTTTGATTGTTTCTTTCATCCCTTCCCCAAAGGAGTTTGCTGGGTAAGTTTACTTTCTAGTAGATGCCTCCTCTGACGTCCTTGGCCAGTCATGCACCCACACCTTCCTTAAAAAACAAAGCCCCCACAAACGAAACTCCTAAAGAGCCCCCATGATTCTTCTAATCTCAGTACTTGGGAAGTAGAGGCAGGGCGGATCTTCGTGAGTTCAAGACTAGCCTTATCTGCTTAGTGAGCTAGTGAGACCCTGTCTCAAGCAAGCAACACAGCAACAGTGAACCCCCCCCCCCCTCCAAAATTTCCTTTTACCCCAAACTATAGCTTGTGTCTGTCCCCTTTTAAGCCTTTTCTTTGGGGGCGTATGTTTCCCAGTAGTTTGGTTCTTTTCATCTCCTCTGGTTTTGGTCATTGTGGTCAAAGCCAGCCAGGTTGAAGTGTTCTCTCTAGACTCAGGGTCGGATGCTGTTCTGCTGCACACTAGCTGTGTAATGAGGATGAGTTATTCAGCTGTGTGGTGCTAATGAAGGGTTCCTTCATTTCCTTATGGGATTGTTTTCAAAATTACATGGGAGTTTACGTGTGAAGCAGACATAATCTATTTCTGTTGTATAGTAATGTTCATTATCATCATTGACACTATCACTATTTTTTTTTTTAAATAAAAAACAAATTGTAGCTATTACAAATGACTGGTTCTTACAGTGAAACAGAAAATATTCATTTTCGAGAGTACACTAATACACCAATTTTAGAGGAGACATATAATTTAACATATATTTGAATTTAACTAAGTTATACTAATTATGGAAGTCCTCGAAAAGTTCATGGTTCTTGGCAACCTGAACAGACTTTTCCTGAAGAAGCTTGGGCCTACCTCTATATAGCTAGATCTCCTGTCATACAGGTCTAGCCTGGGCAGATAGCAAGTTTGCTGTCAAAGCAGTCAAATATATAAAAGTTGATTCGTTTTTGACACATCATTAATTAGATCATTTTGCTCAAGGTTTTTAATGTTCTGTGGAAGTTCCTTTTGTAGTTTTCATATTAGTAAAGCTAATAGGATAGATGTCTTGTAGTTCACTGCTTAGATGGTTTTTATGAAGACACAGGTCTTATTGCAGTCTGCTGTGTAAAATAAAAGTAATACTAAAAAGAAATAATTGAGTGAATTAAAATATGTTGTGCGTTGGCCTGCATTTTTTAGAGGATTATTTTATGTAATCTCTGATTTCAATCCCCAAAAAATTATCTTAGAGAAAACTTTCAGTGTTTGATCCTTTTTTGTTTTGATATTAATTTCTATTTAATTGCAATTTAATTACTTCATAATTTATTTGTTATTGAAAACTACTAGTAAGCTAATGCTTTGGTTTACCAGTGTCATTTAGATAAGAAAGTTTTTCATCCCATTTGAAATAAATAAAGCCATTTTCAATTATTTTTTCTTTCTTTTAATTGTACTATACATTTACCCTTTAAATGTTTTCCTTGTATGTCTTAAATTTACATATTTTTGTAAAATATCTCATGCAAAAATGCTCTAATGGACAATTATTCTGATATTTACTTAAATAGTAACCAGTTGGCTGACCATTACCTTAACAGAAAGTAAATTAGAAGAAATTTGATTGTGTAGAGTACCTCTCTCTCACTGGACATGGATGTTAAATGTCTTCTCAGACTCTGTTAATGAGAAAAGTTACCTTTCAAATTGGGTGGGGGGACACAGCAAAACCAGATTCATTCTAACGTTCATTCTGAAGACTATATTGTTGTAGGTTTCCTACGACACAGCACTTCAGTAGTAGCTCTGGTAATGGGCCAGAGGTCACAGGGCTTGCAGCAATTTCCCTGTGCTAGATTTCCAACACACAGAGCACAGAAGTTACTTATTCCTCAAGGCTACATCCGTGTGACACCAGGAAGGAGAACACTAAAAGGGTGCTTACCCCTTGTCCCAGTTGTGGGAGAGGGAGAGGGGACAGGGACAGGGCAGACTAACACTTGAGTTCATGGATTTGAGACCAGTCTGGGCAACATAGTGAAACCCTCAAACAAAACAAAGCAAAAGCCCGTTAAGATGGGCGTTTGGCTATGTCTAGACTTGACAGACGACAGAAGGTGACAACAGGAACAGGCCAGCGCCCACAGTGCACAGGCCATTGCACAGGCCCTTATGGAATTACAGAAAGTAAAGTAGTAATTGGAAAGCTGGGGAAACTCCTCTGAAAGATTTCACATTTTCTTTAAAATTGTTTCCTGATGAATGAGGTTTCTCAATTGTTTTAAAGTTACTTTGTAAAAGAAGCAGAAAATACATTAAAATTTTAAAGCGATATATCTCTTTAAAATCCATGATCTTAAGTTTTTTTTTTCCCTCTCATAGCTCCATAAAGTAGACATTTTGTCTGTAATTTCAGAATTTTCTTTGGCGATTTCTTTTTGAGTTATCCGTGCATGCTTCTCCATTGTGATGGTCTCTTCCTCTTTCCCTCCACTGGTCTCTGAGAGTGGACTTCATTAGTAGACAAGGAAGACCAGTGTGACTTTCCAGAGAGTGCTTTTCCCGCAGTGGCTGCCCCGATAAGCTTGTCAGCGACCTTACCTCCTATTTCTGTAGGGGTCTGCATTCTTGCAAAGCAGGTGAAGGGCTTGTTCCACAGCATTGCTAGCTAGAGACGCTCTGCCATGTTCAGCCCACCAGTCCCCGGTGAATAAACAGCCATCAGAGTACACATTCTCAGCACTGTTGTAGCACACCATCGTGTGTATCTTATGAAAATTTATAGGCAGGAGATGGAATATGCTTTGTATAGTTACACTTTACCACATGAGTAGATTTGGACCAAGAAAGCATGATGTATATTAATTAGTTTATTTATCATTTAATTCTGACATAGTGTTTTCTTGGATAAATGCTATTTTGAGATTTTTGAGTTGAAGGAGGATTACCTCTCACGGTTATCACAGCTGACTTCACCTTGCCTTAGAACCTATCATTCACTCAGCAGAAACATTCCAAAACTTACACAGATGATCTAGGAATGCTTGGACTGACTTTAGAAAAAAAACTTGTAAAAATGACTTGTCCTTGGAAAATGATTGAAATCTCCATATTCATGAACTGTCAACTAAAGTCTTAATAATAAATTGTAAGATCTCTGAGACTATATTTTTGTTAAGATTTTTTTTTCAACTCCCAAGTAAACAATGTCAAGATACTTTCAGTTGTATCAAAAAAGATTGGCTTACCTATTAAAAAGTAAGCACTTGTGATTAAGGTTTGAATTCATGCATTATGAACCCAAGGTTTACATAGTAGAATTATGTTGACAAAAAGGAATATTAGTCATCTCTGTGGATCACTGTGTAAGTTCTGTTCTTCAGGGAAGGATTACTTAATGGAACAGATTCTCGAGTTAGATGAGTTTTTTTTTTCCCAACCAGAAAGAAGCATAAATATTAACAATTGCTAATGATAATGGGATTTTCACTTGGCATTTATAGCTAGCAGCACAAATTCAGACATACGAGTTTTCTACAAATGATTTACACTAACACAAATAAATATCTTGATGCATTCTCAGAACAGCTGCTATTTGGTTGGGCTGGGGGAAAAAAAAAATCTGTGAACTATTCTAAAACTACATATGACCTGGTGTGGCGTTGCAATTTAATCGCAGCACTTGGGAGCCAGGACAGGTGGATGAGTTGGAGACCAGCCTGGTTTGCCCAGGGAGTTTGAAGCCAGTTAGGGCTGTATAGTCAGACCTTGTCTCTAAAACAAAACAATAAAATCACATAGGTAGGAAGGATGTTTTTGTAAAAGCTTATATGTAGCACTGTTTTTGACTAATACTTAAAATGAGATCTTAAAAATATGTACCTGGTTTGTTTGTTTGTTTTTCATGTACCTGAAGTCTCTGTTTTTTCTTTTCACTTGTAGGCTTGTGTCTCCAGAGCAGCCACCAAAGGCCAAGTTCTTGACCTTGGGGTCCAAATTCCGCTACAGTGGACGTACCCAGGCACAGACCCGCCAAGCAAGCACCCTCATAGATAGGCCAGCACCACACTTTGAGCGTGCCTCTAGTAAACGTGTCTCAAGGAGCCTAGATGGAGGTAAACACATTTATAATTTTGGATTCTACTCATCTTTTCTATTCCACTGGGGTCAGAAAGTGATGATCTAGTTAGTAAGACTACCAGACATCCTTTAGAGGGGTAGACAAATTAGCAAATGATTATTACTCTCAGAGTGAAATAATTCTGCATTCAGGTTGTCGCTCTCACCACATATTTCCGTTCTGTTGACAGCACACATAAAGAATCAGTATGTATTTTTGTTTGTGGTTATAAGCTGTTGGATAAACCTGTTTCTCTTGGTTTTATTTGATTATGATCTCTAATGTGGCTTAATTTCTTATACTTATTAATTGCTAACAATTCTAAAGGATTTGGGGGGTAAGTTTGTATATGAATCTTTTTCTTTTTCTTTTTTTTCCAGACATGGTTATTCTGTAGCTCTGGCTGTCCTAGAACTCTTTCTGTAGACCAGGCTGGCCTCAAACTCACAGAGATCCGCCTACTTCTGTGTCCCAAGTGCTGGGATTTAAGTCATGTGCCACCACTGCCCGCTGCATATGAATCTTAATTCAAATAATTGTAAAACAATTTTCTTAGATTTGAAGGTATGCTTTCAGAAGTTACCAAACTTCCAGCATACAAGAAAACATTCTAAGCCTCAAAGGATTAATTTTAAATATGGTTTTAAATAATAATAACAAAAGAAATACATACTCATTTCTCTGGGGAGATAGTACAAATAAATATTAGTGCTTTTGTGTTAGAGTTCAGATGAGCTACATATTTGTAGTTTTATTAACATATGCATGGAAATGAGGTGATGTTGCTTTTTTCATATTATTTATCATACTGATAACTACTAAATTAGGAATTAATATTAAATTTTTTATAAGAGAGATAATGGTACATTTTTATTGAAATGCTTTTCTTTTTATATAACAAAAGTGATTATTATGGTTAATTTTAGTGAAAAGAAAGCTTTTGAACATTTTTGGTTGTATAATTAAATAGTTTAAAAAATTATAATTCTGTAGTGCATTATTATCAAAAAATTGCATTTTGATTGTTCCTTCATATAGTTCTTAAATATGAACTTGAACAACTTAGATATTATATAAGTAGATAAAACAGACTATTCCTATGCTAACATGGTGTCCCATTAGTGGGTGATTGACACAGATTGACCATATGCTACTTTTCCTAGTAAAAGAAGTTCCAGAATAGGCCTGTACACACTGCTGTCTCCCAGGGTTTGTCAGTGGGTATTGATGGATGTGGCTGTTAACTCTAGAGAGTCTTCCATGCAGTTTTAAGGAACCACCAGGTAATATGTGCTTCAAGCAGATGAATGTCCCTCTTTCCAGATGTGACTATTTAAGTTCAGTGAATTAGTGGTGTCAGTTTGCAGCTGAGCAGGGATCTGAAAAACATTCCAGTCCCTGTAAGGCTTTGTCAAGTCTGCTCTTGCCACAGCATTAGATAGTCTCTGAAGGTATGCTCCAAAAGGAGCTCCTGCCTTCTGGAGTGCTGTCTTGAGCTTTTGTTCTAAGCTGTGAGGCTGCATAGCTCCCATGTTGTGAGTATTAGAGTTAATGAAGAACATTCTGATAGGTAAATGGCCCTGGTTACCTGTGGAAAAGTCACGAGCCTCGGCCACGACTACCAGGGTTACAGAGAGTTTTATTAGGAGGGAAAGTGGGGGAGAGAGAGGGGAGCCAGGCCTGGGGGGAGGGAGCAGAGCGGAGAGCAGAGAGGGAACAGAGAGAGAGGATGGGGTCCATGTCTGGCTTTTTTAAGGCGCAGATTGTTAGTGACCAGCGCCCCCTGATGATGTAAGACGCAAGATCCCAGACCCTAGACCCCAGGAGTGAGGTCAGGATCCTAACACGTTCAGCCAGGGCATCTTCTTTGTGGCCTGCCCACTTCTGTGGGGAACCCACCATCTCGACTGAGTAGTTATTGCAGAGGGTTGTCCGGCTTTGTATCCGAAAACAATTTTCACAAGGAAAAGGAACAAGCATGGCACCAGTGTTTCCCCTTTGTGTCTTGGACACTGAAATTCATCCGATGGGCCGGTCATCAAAAGGATGATTGTGTTACTGTGAAAACTAGGAGGCTTCTCGTGCCAGTGTGTGAATCGTTTGGTTAGGGCTTAGGTCCTTTTTCCCCTAACAAAGCAAAACCTCCTCGGTAACCCAGTACAGAGTTCAGTTTCCTTCACCGTTTTTACCAGCGGTCCTTGAGGATTGCTGACAAGTGTTTTCTTTCCTTATTTTGTTGTTTTCTTTTAAAAGTTAGACTTGAACAATTTAGATAGGTAAATAGTCTTCCCTTTAAGTTTAGAAAAATTGTTAGGTGATTGCATAAAAGTCACCATTTAATGCAACACTGGGAGACTTAAAAGTAAAAATCACCTCGAACAGCTGCTGTAGAACTCTGAGACTCCTCTGAGGTTGGGAAATGGAACCAAGGGAGCCGGAACAGTCACTTTGGAGAACTAACAATCCTCCTTGGCTGGCAAGTGGGGGTAGCAGTGATTTTTTTTTTTTGAAGTGAAAATGAAGAGTAAACAGGAGTGCTATGTTACTTAAGTGTGGTCGTCAGGGAAGGAAGGCCTCCCTAATGACGAACCTCAGAGACCTAGGAAGATGAAAGGGAGGCACCCCTGAGACGAGAGGAGAACATGGAGCACCCAGGCAGTGGGCGCGCAGAGCAGCTCTGAGGTGAGAAGACTGCACACTCAAGCTTAGGAGAGCCAGGCTGTTGGCAGGCTCTGCAGAGTCCTCCCTGTACACTGAGGGCTTAGAGTGTCCGTGACAGCACACCAGAGCACAGTGTCAGCTTTGAAGAATCCTGTGGTCTAAGAGAATGGTTAGAGAAGACAGTCAGGAAACAGGCAGCCTGGCTCAGAGTGGTTTACATGCCTGGCCACTGTGATCTTCACCTTGGTTTGGGAGGAGACCAGTTGGTTACTGTACGTTAGACTATGTGTTTTAAAAGTGTGCAGCCAACATTTGTCAACTTGGTTTGTAATTTTTAATTTTATATTGACTCATATTTCAGTATCAGTATATTTGAAACTACCTTTAGGTCAGATTTTCTCATTTTGTAATGATTCGTCCTTATTATGGGTGCCTAAATTTATAAAATAACTCAAAGGGGTATGCATAATTATATACTTCTGTACAGGAAAATAAGTAAAATCTTACCAAACCAAAAAACAACCATCCTGGGAAATTAGCAGGTGTAATGTAAGATGTGAGCTCATTTTAATGTTTTGATGATTTTGTGGATTTTGAAAAGTAAATTTTTATAGATGGGAAAAGTTTTAAAGGGTGACGTGGTATAGAAATAAAGGCTTAAAAAATAAATCTAACCATGTTTAGAAAACACCCAAGGGCCCTGTTTGACTTGCTGGTTTTAAGGGAAGATGATACAGAATTCGAGGTTCCTGGCTGAAGCAGATAGGAGCAGGTAGAGTATCGTTTAATAAAACAAACGGGGCTGGGAAGAAGCCTATTGAGACGGCGGGGGAGGGTGTAGATTATTAAGTACCTTGTAGGACCAAGATGGAAGGTACCAGGTACTTCAAGTTATCTGATGGGTTTTACACACACACACACACACAGAGAGAGAGAGAGAGAGAGAGAGAGAGAGAGAGAGAGAGAGAGAGAGAGAGAGAGAGAGAGGAGAGACGCTATGACAGAAACCTTAGAATAACAGGTTTCTACCTCTTTCTGAGAAAGAGGAAGGCAATGCACAAGGCCAACTTTTGGGCAGCAGCTGGGGTACTGGACACCATACTCAGATTCGGAACTGTCAGAAAAATGAAAAATATTAGGTAAATTCTTAAGTCTGGTTTTTAATATGCAAATAAAAGTTAACTTGCAGGGGATTTCTTAAAACCTCTTGAAACAAGTCATTTTAATAATTAGTATTATTTGTTTTAAAAGGTAGATTTAGGACTGATCAGTCACCCTGGATGATGGTTACATTGTAATTCTGCTGGACTGTTGCAGTTGGGCCAAGAGCTCCTCCTACTGGTCAATTTCTCAATGAGCCACATGCTCAAAAATCTAATTTGCTGGGTGGATAGATGAATGTAAATAAATAGTTTTTAAAAACTCAGAATATTAGTAGAGTTTTGTATTTGTTTTTTTTAAATGTTGATATTTTCAAAGTTCAATCTATGTTACAGCTACTTACATGTGACCTGTTTGTTTAAGGGGTTATGTTCTTTAACGCTTGGCCATTCAGGGTCAAGGTATTCATGGGCATTTCAACTTATCTTCTGATCAGCTCTGATTGATGTTGTGGACCAAAGTCTTCTGAAGGATTTTCCTGGCCCTCCGGGAGAGGGTTCAGCACTTGGCCCTGGAGCTGCCAGCTACACCACCATTCAGGATGGGGATAGCCGGAGGGATGTCAGAAGCCCCACAAAAGCCACACCCCTGCTCGCTGAAGGAAAGGTATGGCACGTTAGCACTAGTGCTTTTGGGAAGATGTGCTTAGACAGAGGCTCTCTGCTGCATTTTGCATGTCAGAATCAGAAATGTATTATCGTTATGTAACCTATGCTGGTTTGATTTCCCAAGTTTCAAGTATGTGTAGGCTGCTGCTGTTTGGACTATGATTTCTAACCTTGTTTTGATTATTTTTCAGTGTAAATATTTATTTCAGTGTAAATTACACTAATATAAGAAAGCAGTGCACTGGCATTTCCTGTTTCCTTAGTTTATTATCAGTTGAATCACCAATGATAAAAGCCATTTATTTGAAATTTGCATATTGTTGCCAGTCAATTTTAAAGGTAGTCCCTGTCTTGAGTTTCATTGTTTTTTAAATTTTTATATGAATGAAGATGATTTTATGAAAAAATCCATTAATAATTCGTAGCTGTGGATAGTGAGTGCAGGGTTTGTGTGCTGTCATTGTCTTTGTTTTGTGCATACAGCATAGTGAATGAAGAAGCAATTAATGTTAAGATGTTCTCAAATCTGTCACTGTTATGTTACTTTGTTACTGAAGTCACTTCAGTTATTAAGTCACTTGACTGAAGAGCTTTTGGGCTCCTCGTGTCTTATTTCCAGATCTGCGCAAAGCAATTTTTATATACAACATTGGAAATAAGTGCACATGCATGTGCGCGAACACACACACACACACACACACACACACACACACACACACACACACGATTATCCTGTTGACTTGCAGTGTCTGTTTAATTCTGGCTTTAAGAAATGTAAAGATAAGCAGAATGAACTTAGAAAAGGAGAGTAGCTGACGTACCTGCCAGAACAGTAGGAGCTCCTGCAGTGACATCCTCTACAGCCAGCTGAGAGGCCTCCAACACATGGTCACAGGACATCAGACAGCAGATGATAGGAAATCATTGGTAGCCTGTCCTTAATTTATGATTGTCATGTTGAAAAAATATTCGTCTAGAAGGTATTTAGTTAAAGATAACACAATTTATGTCCTGCATGATGTCCTTCAAGTGTTAAGTTGTCAGAATCTCTTAAGTGTACAGAGTACCCAAGAAAACGACCACTGAAGAGAAGTAGGCATAGTATTTCAGAATAGTTCTCGTCTGCTTTTCCTTCTTAATTTGACATATGTAATTATGAAACATTTTCTTTGAACGACAGAAGTTCTTATATTAAATTTGTAAGGAAATCTTTCTTGTCTTTAGCAAATGACTAGTTATATGAGCTTTTTGCTGGTGTTTTTAATATATGAGTCAGCAACTAGGTTTGAGTAACATCAGTTAGAAACTCACAGTCATTAATATGTGTACATTTTATGTGATAAAAGGAATCCAGTTTTCCTCCTTAAAAATGGATGATTCAGTTAATTTTCTAACCACTGTTTTTATGAAGCCTACTTGGGAGTACTAGTTCACTAATATATCTTCTTTTCTCCTGTGTCCTTCTTGTTCCTTTGAACATGGCCATTGTGTGATTCACACTCAACTGTGGGTTACTCTTGAAATAGACTGTGTGCATGTGCCCTCCGTCACCTCTCATTTGCTGTGCTTCATCCTTTTCCCCACACCTCCTGCCAGTCCCGGAAGTGGACTTGCTGTCAGACATTTCAGAGGAAGACCCTTTTGGGGAGGCTGATGAGACCACACTAGATAGCTTTGAGCTGCTTTCCACAGGTGGAGCGTCAGAGCAGGGTGACCCTGAGGTGGCCACATTGGATTCTGTCTTAGATCCTGCTGTGGCCCCTCCTCAACCTGACTGTCCTTCCATCCATGAGACGATTCTCAAATCGGCGGACCCTAGGGATTCTGAATTTGGTTACTTTTCACTTAACTTTTACAAATACTTTGCCTCTGGCTTGCCTTCCCTTCTTGATGAAGATGGATACCTTGCCTTCCCCAGCCTCCCCAAGATCTGGGTTTCCTTCCTCCCTCCCGATGTTCAGCATTACATCCCCATCACATCCCCTTCATTCATTCCTTCACTTATCCTCATCTTCGGGCTGCTTCTCTCAGCTTCTCAGTCAGTTTCTTTTTCTCTTACCTTTTCACTTCCTCTGGCACTAGTCCTCTGCTATCTGGAGGGGAAGGCCACCGCCTTTCACGTTTTTTATGACTGTGATTTGAATGACAGACCAGAGGAAGAGGAAGCAGTGGCCAGCATGCCTCCATAAGCTGCAGTTTTTAAAGTCCGCCCAGCCGTTCTTTGTTATGTCCCCTTCCTAATAATAGAGTCTAAACCTGTGCATTAATTTTACTGACTATCCTCAAAATAGTATGTACACATTTACACCCATACATATGTGCATGAGTGCTAAGTGTCGATACTCCTCTGCATCACTATCCTAAGTGTAGGCACACACATTCTAAATTCAGCACAAACCCGCAAGATACTTGTATAAATATCTTAGATAATGCTAGATTGTTAAAGGAGTGTGTGAGCTGGGAATCTGTACTCTCCTTAAGTATTCATCTCGGCTCTTTTGAAGATAAATGTTAGTGCTGTTCCTTAAGCATGGGAACTTTATGTTTTGAAACAAAACTTAGAATGTTTTGGATATAATTGTAATTGACATGTATCGGTAGAACTTAGTATAATTAATCTTCATCAAAACCCAGGCTTGTAGGAGCCCGAGTCTGTAAACGACACTCCTGATGTTTCTAAGCCTATCTCAGAAACTCCATGATGTACTTTTAGCATTCAGGGACCAGAGAGATGAATTTAGTGCCGTATTCTTTCTTCTACCCTGAATCATGCAATTTGTAAGAGTCATCATCAACTATTTTATAAGAAAAACAATAGTCTATTATTTAACAAACATGTATGAAAAACGAAACCTGACTTTGAGAAATTAGAGTGTATATGAAGGGTTGGCCTTTTTTGCTTTATTATTTAAAATGAGGTGTCTGAGACTTTTCATCTGTGTAAGACAGCTATTTTGAAGTGTTCCACCTCTGCACTGCAGGAAAGTCGGTCTTAACATGTGCAGTGGGTTTTTAATTATTTTGCTCAAGGTGGTCTGCTGATTAAGTGTCATGTGTCTTAGGGATTCTATCAACACAGATTAAATCACAGAATTCAGAGCAAACACAAAGAAAAATACTAGAAATGGATCGAGTATACATTGTAGGAGAAGCTGTAATTCTTTACATTTACTTGAGAAATACCAAAGATCAACCTTTTAGTGAATTAAATGTTGACCAAGAAATTGGAGGCGGATTCTTCACAGAGCTGTGTCACATTTTTCACCTCTGATACAGGAGGGGGTTTGGGGGGGTGTTCTCTCGGTGCCCATTACCTCTCACACATACCACTGAATGGCCACAGACAGGCTCTTTGACCCAGCACTATCCTACCAGCACAGGAGAGGGCCTGTGGGTGGATCATCCTGGAAAGCTGATTGTCCTTTTGGCCAGTGGTTTTGTTTTTACACACTAGTTAGTTTCCTGCTGTCAACATTTACTCAGTATTTCTTAGTCTTAAGCCTTCAAATTAATTCTTTGGGGTCATTAAATATTGGGAAATGTCCAACTGCAGCATACTATTATATAAAAATTTTATGGAAAAGTTGTATATTTTAAAGATTATTTGCAAATATCCATTTTAATATGAGAAAAATTTAATAGGCTAAATTTTCCCCAAGAAAACATATTTAAAAACAGATGGGACAACGTGTGATGATGTAAAATTTGTAACTTACTTAAAGCCGAAGACAAATTTGGCATCTCTGTACCTTGTTCCATTGCTACTTGGCTTTTGCCATCTTTCCACTTTCATATTTTTATTACTGCTTAAAAAAAGACAGTTCTTAAAGGTAGAGCATAATGTAGGGACTGAGAAAGAGCGAAGCTTCCATCTCCATTCCACCCTTGCAAAGGTTCATTTCATCGTCTGTGCGACACTGTATGTAGGTGGAGACAGAGCACATGACTTAGTAGCGTCTCCCGAGGGCCAGGAGTCAAGGTTGGTACTGCTGCTGCACCATTAAGTCTGGACACAGCATCTCTCTCTGCCTCGCTGGTGGAGCCTACCAGCGAGCCCCTTCTTCCTGCCTGTGTGCTGTGTGACTTTGCAGGGGAAGACAGAAGATGTGGAAACCTACCTGGAGGAGGTGTCCGTTTTCCCTCTCGTTAAATAATAAGTGCCTGTTGCCCGCCATTGCTGTGGTTGGGGGGCTGGGGAAGGGCTGGGAGAGGATGGTGGAATGCACTTTCGGGGTTTATCCGAGTTTTGTTTGTTGTGGCTTTTAAGATTTTTATCTTCAAGTCTTAGACTATGGAACTCTGGGTTGTTTATAGTGCTTGCTGATGGATACACTTATGTTGATTTGCTTTTCCCCCCTTGTGTGTGATTTAATTTCACAGAAAAATACCTTGAGAGTAGAAGGGGATAATATTTATGTCAGACATAGCAATTTAATGTTGGAGGTTTGTATGATCTAAGAACCGCTGCACTCTGTCCTCTGGCTGCCAGGCTGCTGTGGACGGGAGGTCACGCACAGGCTGGCTGACTGGCCCTTCTCTTCCAGCACAGTGCATGCGATGCATGGGGTTATTGAACTTGGGAGTGCATGCTACCAGTCCAGCTTGGTTCTTATGTGGTGGAGGTAGGGATGTAGCTATTGCAAGTTCTCAAAGAGACAGCTGGGGAGTAAAGCTCTCTTTATTTAAATAAAGTTTATTCATTACTAAGTAAGCCTGTTTCCCTAATAAGTCACCTTTAAGCTATAGAATCTGAAGTAACACAACCCCGTTTTTAATATACATTAAACAGAATAGGAAAATTTTTTCATTTGACATTAGCTCATTCAGTTGACTCAGTCTCTGGCTCCCCTCCCCCCTTTTTTTGACCTCTCAGTACAATCCATGTGATAAGGTATGTGGCCCATTTAAATGATTCCACTTGAGAGTATGCTTATTAATAGAATGGTTCTGACCAGAAGGAAAGAACAGAGGAGAGAGGGTGGAAGGGAAGGGGGGAGAGGTAGATAGGTATGTCGGTAGGTAGGTGGACGGGTGGATGGATGGACAAACGGATAGGTAGATGAGACATTGGTAGTTGTAAAGAGTGTTTCCATGTCAGAGGAGGACAGTTTTCCCTTCTCATGCTAAGGTGGTGTGTGCAGTGTATTCAGTGGAGACCTGCAGCTCTGGGTAATCTGACTAATCTCTTAGGTCGCTTTTGGCAGCTTTGATAACTGCTAAAATGTATTTTTGCTTAACTTACTAAAATGCTGTAAAGTATAATAAGTAACATTGCTGTGAACAAATGCAAGAAATGTGCCTGATCTCAAGCCAGTCATTTGCCCATGCCATGCGGAAGTTTCCGGTCGTTGGGAGTTTTTGCAGATGGCTATAGAAGCTCCCGGTGAGCCACTGGGCTTGTGCATGACCGTGGACTAGCTGACTGTATCAGATGCATGGCCTGCCTTTGGGAGTGGGACTGGAGTCTACAGGCAGCCTGTGATTTTTGAACTGTAAGAAAACATTTACAATCCTGTTAAGTCCAGTTCCTAAACATTATTACACATGTGCTTCTTACCAGACCCAGTTTTTTGGTTTTTGTTTTAAATATGCTGGATACCACTCATCAGGCCGAGGCAGTGAAGATAGAGTTAGTAGATTTTCCATCTTTGTAAAGGGACCACATGTTACTACATCAAGTGGCTGGGTTCTCCTTTGTTCTCTGTGTTACGTGAGACCAGTATGTGGCTCATTTGGAGAGAGACCAAGCATAAAAGCCTCTGGAGGCAGTTATTTTATTCCTGGAGAGTTAGAGCCACCACTGGGGGTTCCTGACAAAGGCCCCCCACCCCCGGTTTTTCTCCTTCTGTTGATGGTCCTGGACGGCCAACTGTGTGCTTCTACATTTACCCTTCTTTGTTTTGCTATATTCACAGAATGCAGTAGAGTAATAGCCTTTATCACAAAGGTAAATTTGTGGGGACAAAGTCATAGGCTGCTACTTAAATTCAAGTCGATAAGGATTGCTAGCCATTATGGTCAGTTCCATGGCTCCCTTCTATTATGGGTAATTTAAAATCCCAAACAGAGAAGAAATTAAAACCATTCAAATATGAGTAAAATAATTCACTGGCTTCATTTTCAAATTTTGATGAACTCAGGGCTATCCACAGGTGATAATATGGCTTTTGAGACTTGGCATTTTTCTTGCTTTATTATATATTTTTTTTAAAATAATAAGTTTACTTTATCTTATTTTTTGGTTCTATTTTTTGCCCTGCGGGGTGTTTTGTTTTGGATCCCCTTTGTCATGTTACATGTTGCTAGGACCTGGATAAGGCCCAGGAGGACATACTGAAACACCAGGCTAGCATTAGTGAGCTCAAGCGCAATTTTATGGAGTCCACACCTGAGCCGCGCCCCAATGAATGGGAAAAACGACGTCTCACACCTCTGTCCCTACAGACCCAAGGGGTATGTCACTAGCTGTTTGTCGGCTTTGTGTCTCGCTGCAGTTGTTCATCTTGTTTGTTGACGCTCAGAAGTTGGAAAATGTTCCCGCATAAATTCTTTTTATTGCTAACAATTTTTTAAAACACTAAGTATTAACAATGTAATATTCATTGACCTAATTCTTAGGTAAATTTTATGAATTTTAATGTACTTTTGGAATGTTTTCAGAGTAATTTTATTGTTGTGTTCAGGTAAATTAGTAGCATTGAATTGTTACTTAGGACAGTTGGGAACTAATGTAATACTATATCTAGTAAGTTTCTTATATAAGGACATTAAAAGTTTCTCAAATATAAGTTGATAAAGGAATATAGAGCATATATTAAGGTCATTACTATGAAGATAATGAGTTAAGATTTACCTTTAAAGATTGATGGACTCTGTTGAAAAGTTGCAGAACATTATATGTTATGAAATACTGTATGTTATCAATGCACCTATGAAATTCCTGCAGCAGTAAATAGTCATGTTTCAAAAACATTTTAAGTGCCAGTGGACCTCAGACCTACTTTTCTTTCTTTTCATGTTCTCCTTCTTACCTTCACTAAGTATTGCCTATAGAATATATTCCCAGAATACCTCTGCATTCATTCCATTTTCTTCCTCTTCTGTTTTGATCCTCTCAGATCTCTCCTGTGATTTTGAACAGGAAGTTCATGGACACATCCCTCTCGAGGAGACTGATAGAATTTGCTCTGCACTTTTGAAAGCTGTGCAAAGATGTTGTGTTACAATTTGATTATTTCCCTTTCATTATGTAGTGAATGTTGCCCAGTTGTAGAAATTTGATTTAGACAATCTTTGCTCTTCCTCAGAGCAAAGCCCCTGGTATTATTAAGTTTCCAAGTTTGTGGCACTGGACGTAAGGCAGTGTTTTAAGAACCAGTGAGCAAAAACCATTGCTGAACCGAAAATTGCAACCTGTCAAATGGAGAGATTAGATACTCTCCATGCTCGGTGCTGTGAAGGAGGAAACCAACATTTGCAGATTTTTTTGAAAAACCAGTAGTTTGAGCAGCCTAGTCTAGAATTTCCAGAGAAACGGTGGCTGCTGACCTAGGAAGGAAGAGCTTTCCTCTCTCTACTACTGCGTCCAGTTCACTGCACTGAGCCACACTGTCCTTTTGCGTTTGTGTTGCTATAGGTGTAACGTATGTGTCTTTTTGTTGATTATGTCGTTGTTTAAAACAATAGAGGAAAGGAGACCGTCTTTTCAAGGATATTCTGTCCATGAAGGAGAAGTACCTGATGGCGGCTACACGGACAGCTGAAGAGGAAGCTCAGGCGGACAAGGTGTTCACCTTGCGTCATTGGATCTGCTTTTGCTTCCCTCCCCGTGCATTTCTGCTCACAGCCAGAGAGTCTGTTTTTAATGAGTCAGCCTAATTTTAAAATGGTTTTTGAATGTTTAACAAGTTAGGCTCCTATGTATTAGCAGCATAGGAACATTGGGGAGAAAAATCCTATTTCAGTCAACACCTTCCGTGCAATTTGAGAATAAGGAAGTGTAGGAATATCATCTGTGTCAGGTGATTCATGATCCATCATTTGATGTATGTGGCTTATGGTTGGGGAACTAGTCTCATGAAAGTGCACTCTATGTCACTTAGGCACATGGTGGTACTACTAAGATATATTACATGTGCTTTGGTTCATAACTAATCACATATGGGAAGCTTTAAAATTTCATTTTTGAGATTTTTAGTATAACAAAAGAGATATAGATATTCCATAGCAGCTTCTTTCTCTTTGTGCAAGGCCTTGAGTACGTGAAATGCCTCTCCCAAGTGAGGAAACACGCTTTCCATCTCTTTTCCACTCTCCTCTTGTGCTGAGCTTGCTTAGCTGGTTAGTTAGCCTGGAGAGCTTAGAGGCTGCTGAGAAGGTAGACAGCAGACATGCTCTTTAGTGACTAGAGGTTTTCCCACACTGAGAACCTTCAGAAGGTGAAACATAGTGTTGTATTAGAGGATAAGAAGGAGATGGTGTCTAAAGTAAGTTCTTAATGATAGGAAGATAGACCAAAGCCGGGCGGTGGTGGAGCACACCGTGATACCAGCACTCGGGAGGCAGAGAGGCAGACAGATCTCTGTGAGTTCGAGGCCAGCCTGGTCTACAGAGCGAGATCCAGGACAGCCAGAGCTATGTAGAGAAACCCTGTCTCTAAGAAAGTAGACCAGAAGATATATCCATACTAAAGGAAGAACACATGTAATTGCTAAGGTAGGAACTGGTTTAAGGACCCCAAATGACTAAATGACACAAGCTTAATAAACAGGGATATAGTCATCAGAATGCACAGGACCCACGTCAGATGCCATCATTTGATAAAGGCTGTTGGCAACATGAACTAGAATTTTGGTGAAGATGTTTAAAATGACTTTTTCTGGATCTCATGTTTGAAGGACGTACAGTGTAAAGTATCTGACAGAGGTGAAAGTGGGGTCATGTGACATTTAGTCAGGGGAAGCTCCTAGGGGTCTTGTATGCATTTGAAATGACTGCATTTTCTGACTGCATGTGGAAAATCTACACTATATGTAATATATAGCAGGTGTTCTCCAGCTGTTGTTATTCAGTTGTCTTGTCACCCATGAAGCAGTTATTGGCCATCTGTGTGCACTGTTTTTCTCTTGAGATAATACTCCACTATGGGAAGCATGCGCTCAGCCTGCTCATGCTTTGACTTGAGTTGAACACTATTTCATTTTCTATCTTTATTATGTCTTCCTTTCATTTTTGATTTTCCAAGGTTCCTCGATTGTCTTTGAACATTATTTGTCATTATTGAAAAGTAGAAAAAACATGAGCAAGTATTTGTCTAAATTTTCCAAATTCCTATAGTATGAGTCTTACACAATTTTTAAAAAAGATTGTTTAATTTGTATTTTACATTTGAGTGTTTTGCCTGCATATATGTGTATGTACCTCATGTGTGCTTGGTGCCCACAGAGGTCAGAAGAGGGCATCAGATCCTCTGGAACTGGAGTTACAGATACTTGTGAACCACTGTGTGGGTGCTGGGAATCGAACTTGGGTCCTCTGCAAGAACAAGTGTTCTTAACTGCTGAGCTGTCTCATCTCTCTAACCCCTAGATGGTTTGTGTGTGTGTGTGTGTGTGTGATAAGTGTCTTGTTTAAAAATTAAATAGATTGAATTTTCAAAAATGGCTTTGGTTTGACCATGAATAATTTGAGGGGTAGAACAGGAAATTAGAAGCTAAAGGATTTTTAGTTTTTAATGGTAAGTAATTAGTGTGTATCCTATGTGTTATGAGACATAGGACAACTTGTATTCTCTTGTGGATCTTTGAGGATTACCTACTCTGTAGTCTTTTGGGGGTGTAGTATTGAGGGTTGATTCCAAGGTATTGGACATGCAGGACAAACACTACCTACAAGAGTAACGTTCCCAGTCAGTGAGATACTTTTGAAATTATTTGATTAATTCATTGCACAATACTTAAATTCCACAATCTCCCTCTCCCCTTTTTTGGTTTTGTTTTGTTCTCTTTTGAGACAGGGTTTCTTTGTGTATCCTTGGCTGTCCTGGAACTTGCTCTGTAGATCATCAGGCTGGCCTCGAACTAAGAGAGATCTGCCTGCCTCTCCCTCCCAAGTGCTGGGATTAAAGGGGTATACCACCACTGCTGAAATTCCACAATTTTTATTGATGAAGATCAGAAACTTTTTTCTATGTTGAAAAATTTAAGAATCTACCCACCCTCCCATCCTTCTTAGGTCCTTGTCTGAAGAACATTTTATACGTGCCATGCATTTTTCTTTTTATAAAGGTCTTTGGAGAATGTGGTTTATTAAGAATTCTCACCAAGTTCCACATGGCAGGGGTGGGAGGGGGTGGGGGTTTCCTTGTTCATCCTTTGTGGCATTCCAAGTGTCTGAGGATTGTCACAGCTTGCCCATAGTCCTCATAGGCTGACTAGAAAGCGTTTTTTAAGGGACAGAAATGTGAAACTTAATACGTATGCCTTAATAGATTTTCAGATGAATGAGCTTTTTATTTCTGACTTTGAACTGAGATTTCAGTTCAGGGATTGTCTTAATTTTTTTTAACTGTTTGTTTTTGCCCCCCCAAAAGTGTGGACCCCCCATTCTGTCAAGACTGTTTGTTACATTTCATATGCAGTGGAGAAGAAATCATAGGAGTTAGGGTGTTATAGAAGCATTGCAGAAAATATGCTTTAGTAAGTGGGTGGACTCAAATCCAGAGTGTCTCCAGCACAGGAAAGAAGCCTTTCTAAAATGTAGGGCTGCTGGAGAGATCCTTCTCTGCCAGAAAAAAAGAGGCCAAGGAGCTACCTCAAAAGTCCGTGTTGGAGGGGCTAGGGGTATGCTGTTTGTAACAACATTTCAGTGATAAATGGAGTTGTACCTGGCTTCTGTAGGTTACAGCTACCAGAGGTTCTCAGGCAAGGTGCAGAAGCTGGCGTTCAGGCAAACTTTGGCATAAGCCTGCTCCCATCTCCAATTCTCCCCTTCCTTTCATCCTAAGCTGTCTGTTGGTCTCTCTTGTGTAACCTTTCCCTTCTCTTACTAGGTTACTGCCGTCTGTCCTGATGTATCGCTAACTCTTTGCTCTTCCTTTTCTGATCTCCAGAGCCTAGAAGAGGAGATCACATCAATTTTGTTTAGTGGAAAGGGCTTTTCTCCTAGTGTGAAAGCCTCCTTCCCTTCAGCCACCACTTGGACAGCAGAGGGCGCTGTGGTGAACTCTAATGCACCTAGAGAAAAGCTTGCTTCTGCGCCCTTCTCACACTTGCCGGAGGTGCATTTTACTTTGTTTCCCCTGCTACTAAAAGACACATAAGAGACAGATTTTCCTTCTTCCTTTTTCTTTTCTCTTCTTTCTTTCTTTCTTTCTTTTTTTTTTTTTGAGTATTTAGGTACCTTTCCCTCCATTCTACTAGTGAAATCACTGGGAGAAACATTCAAGAAACAGTGAATTTGAACATAAAGAAGTAGATTGGATAATTTCTCCTGTTTCTTTTTTTTTTTTTTTAAACCTGTCTAAATTTAGAAAATTGTTTAAACCCCCGAGCCCCAGAGCTGGAGGTATTAAGCAGAAGGAAAGTGTCAACAAAGAGAAAGAGTTAGCTAAGTGCTTTTCAGAGCTCGAGTTTTCAGAGCCCAGTTTCAGACATCTTATGGTGGTCTGTTATTTCAGACAACACTAACATGCCCGCCAGAGTTCCTGAGCTAATTGTTTTGGGATGACATTCTGGAATTCTCTGAACTTGAGCTAAACCTGTCTGTCATTTGAGGCTAAGTAATATAATAGTTATACCACTGGCCTGTAATAAGCCTGAAACATCTGCCTTAGAAATGCTCTGAACCATAGTTATCTTCATCTGTGAAGCACTTTGTAGACTCATGGTTTTCCATGTAATATCTGAAACTCCTGGGTTTTCAGTAAAACTGTTGTGAATTTTCAGCACTCAAACATAAAAGTACCACGCCATTCAGAGTAACAGGCTAGAGAGTCTGTGGCATATGTTTGTAGGTGCTACAGAGAATTGTGTCATTTAGATCTGTGTGTCCTTGTTGCTGGCTCCCATGAAGTACCTGGTGTCCCATTAGGAACACTTCTTGAGTACAAACACACACACACACACACACACACACACACACACACACACACACACACACACAGAGTCAGTGTCCAGCAAGGTCAGAGGACCAGTGTCCTTCTGCATTAATGTGGGTGATACTTGAGTAAATGGCACTGTTGCCTGGAGCTGACGGGTTTTTCAGTTAGACCACTAACAGGAGTGCCAGGAGGCTGTAAACTTGTTGCTCTGCTTCATTTGTACAAGTGCTGGGGTAATGTGAGGATTTAAAAACTTCAGAGAAGCCCCATCCCTACTTAATACTGGACTGTAGTGCTGTATGTTACTCCTGTATTCAGTATACAGGTATTGGATAGAATGGTTAGCTACTGTGTCAATCAAATAGAATTAATGTACTCCCAAGAGATAGGTATCGCTGGGGGTTGGATGATGGTCTTCAGTAGTAAGTTTGACCCATTTCCAGTGTCAGGGGTGATAGTGAATGAGCTAATTCTAAGAGGAAACTTGGGGCAAATGTTAACACCCACTCATATCTATATTGCAAATTGAGATGTTAATAACTGTTTGGAATGAACCTTTTAATGTTAATAGCCATTTAAACCAAACATGATTTTCCAGTCCAGTCTCCCCCACTCACCCCTGAGACAGAGCTTCTCTGTGTAACAGCTCTGGCTGTCCTGCATCTCTCTCTGTAGACCAGGCTGGTCAAACTTACAGAGATCAACCTGCCTCTGCCTCCCCAGTGCTGGGATTAAAGGTGTGCACCACCGCCCAGCTCCAGGCTGTTTTTTAGAAAGCATCACCCCACACCCCACCCCACCCCTGCAAAAAATGAAAGAAATCCTTGATGTTGCATTTTTTTAGGGCTTAGGGTCCCAGCCAGTGTCCTAGATTCAGACCACAGTATTTGAGGAACAGATTTAAAATTTATACTTTAAGCAGATTAGGAAGTTTAGGTATAATTACATATTTTTTTAAAAAACATTTTCAACTCCATAAGTAGGGCTTATTCCTGTAATAATGTTTTTTATTTCTTTTCAAGAATTCTGGCTGTTGTTGTTGTAAGTGTTGTGGCGTTTGTCTGGTTGTCCTCTGTGACCTTGAGCATGGGTTTCCGTAGTTGGTCTGGCCGTTCTGTGTTTGCATCGTCACATGTCTGTTTCGGTGGTCAGCGAGGTAAACCATATTGATTTGTGTCCTCGGTTGCTTTTTGTTTCGCAGACTCGCGCTCCTGTATCGGAAGGGCCTTGCACTGGAGCCAGGGACGCTGTTAAGGTTCCCCCTTTTCCATGTTAATGCCATGCCTAACGCCTCTCATCGCCTCATGTTTCCCTGCGTCCCTTCCAGTCAGCCATCATAACCATCTTTGTTTTCCTTCATGACATGAGTCTGCCATCAGTTCATTTGGGTTTCCACTGTTTTTATTTATTCATCTATTTTTGTTCTCCCTCATCCATCTTTTTTCCTGTACAGAGTTCACATGAGACTCTGAATGTAGTGGAGGAGAAGAAGCGGGCAGAGGTTGGGAAAGACGAAAGAGTAATCACAGAAGAAATGAATGGTAAAGAGCTATCAGCTGGGAGTGGTCCTGGGGAGATTCGTAAGGTGGAGCCCGTGACACAAAAAGACTCCACCTCCCTGTCTTCTGAGAGCAGCAGCAGCAGTGAGAGTGAGGAGGAAGACGTGGGAGAGTACCAGCCCCACCACCGAGTGACCGAGGGCACCATAAGGGAAGAGCAGGAGGAGAATGATGAAGAGCTGGAGCAGGAGGCCGGCCAAGCAGCCAAGGTAGTAGAGAGGGAGGCAGCAGTGCCCGAAGCCATCCCAGACAGGCACGCAGAGGCCAGGCTCCTCCCAGTAGACACAGAGGCCCAGGAACATGTAGGTGCCCAAAAGCTACCCGGAGAGAAGAGTGCACACGGAGGCACTGTTAAGCAAGACATGAGAGAAGAAACAGAGGAAGAGCAACACAGAGTTAACGGAGAGGTGCCCCATGTTGACATTGATGTTTTACCAGAGATTATTTGTTGTTCAGAGGTAAATGGGAGTCTCAAGCATGAGCTAAACTGCAGCACTGTTTCTCGGGTGGAAACACCTGCCTTTCTTCCCCTCTCCCCTAATTCTCCTCCAGCTTGATGAGCAGGAGTCTGAGTTTTCTGTCTGGGAGAAGGGGAGCACTGCTCTGTAGATCTCCTGCAGCTCAGGTCACGGTTTCTAGCTCCTTCACCGCCCCTGGATTGCCTGTAGGGTAAACCCCACAGCCACAGCCGTCTTCCTTCTCACTTCCGCATTGGTTTTTCTTTGCATGCTTTGGATGCTTCTGTCCTTCTTTGCACGGCTTCCTCAATCACATGCCTTTTCCTCATGGGCATATGTAGTAAAATGTGTGTGTGCTGTGGAGAGATGGTGGGTTTAAGTGTGTGTGCTCCTGGTGTAATGACTGGATTTGACTCTCTGGATCATTCTCTTACTTCTCCTTAGAGCTCACAGCAGGTGCTGTGAAGGCAGCTTCTGGCAGTGGTAAGGACATGATTTCTTGAATGCCACCGTGGTTCCTGTCTGTAGAGTCCAGGGAGAGTGTGGTGTGGTTAAGAGCCTCTTCCTTCTTGACATCCAAGGACTAAGCATTCACGAGAAGTGCGCTCTTCTTTTCATGGTCTTAGATCACTCCTGGGTTATTTGCAAATTGATTATTTTGTAGACTGCCCTATATTAGATATGTCTTTCCTTTTGTTTTCAAGAAAGAGAATCTTGCATATTTCTCTCAGATTCAGTCTTGATCATTGGGCAATGTCTCTCATGTGATAATTGACTTACCCAGGAATGTCTCTTGATTCCAGAACACCCACAGTGGCTGGATTTATCAGCAATTGTTCTCAGATGGAATGGACAGTCTTTAAGTAGCTTTGTTTTAAATAAGTTACTTTCAGATTTCATCTTGCACGTCAAAGCAGACATCTCAAGAGTCTTTTGAACACTTAGAATTGCCTTTTCCATTTTAATGATTATACCCGTTGGGAGCTTTCTCTCAAAGGAAGTGTTATAATATTTGGTGTGCTATAGTTTGATGATCTCCTTAAGCATGTATGCTCAGCAGTTTTAACAGACAGTGAACCTCTCTGCAGGTGTAAAACCTTTCAGAGCACTCAACACAACACTGATGAGCTAATTTTAGATACAACATTTTATTGTACTTAATGCAAAAGAAAGTGAACTTTCAGATGAATGGAATTAAAAATAGTCGTACTTGAAGATATCCTTTCTGGTGATGGCGTATTTGGGTGGGAGAGAGAGTAAATCTTGGCCTACATAGCTTACAATCCAATTAAAAAGACTGAACCTTCACATTGTGGTTCTTTAAGCTTCAGTAAAAATAGAGATTTACGTTTAGTGCATTCTATTACCTTTCAGTTTTAACATTTTTTCCCCCAAAGTAAAGTATACTTGTGTCAGTGTAGTGGTTTAGGACCATCACAATTGAAGTGTAATACAATTTAGGGAGTCATGATTTTAGCTTGTTTTTCACATATATTTGCATATATACATACATACACACATGTACATATATGCACGTGAGATATGCTTTGAAGGAGAATTTGTCTTTTATATCTTTTAGGTTCTTTGCTTTTTCTCTTACTTTTCATGCATGAGTGTGTATTTGGATTTTTTTTAACAATTATTTTTGAAGGTTCCTTTATACACTTCTACTTTATGACCACTAGAATTTATCTTTCCCTTCCTTTTCCACCTCAGCCACCAGTGGTAAAAACAGAGATGGTAACAATTTCTGATGCCTCACAAAGGACAGAAATCTCCACCAAGGAAGTCCCCATTGTTCAAACTGAGACCAAAACCATCACATATGAGTCTCCACAGGTACAGAAGCTCAAGATTTGGACTGTTTGAATTCCCCTTTTCGTTTAGTGTGAATATTTCTGGTTACACTGTCTTCCCCCATTTCTGACTTTGACATAGCTTTCCACACATTGTAACTGTCCCAGCAATATAACTTGCTCTCTTGCTGTCTTTAGACAGAGAGCTACAGTCAATTGGCGACCCCCAAAGGACTGGAAATAGAACACTGCTAGGAGTGTGAGGGTCTGAGTTCAGTCCCTGGTTCCTAGGGACAGAAAAACATCAGTAGAGAGGAGGAGGAAGTAAATATTGGTGACCTAGTGCTTATGTAGTAGAGCCATACATATGGTTAGTTAAGACAGCAGCACAAGCCCTGTTCTATTACTATAGGGCTTTTCTGGCTTCTTGTATCGAAAACTATGTGTACGTTCTTGGGAAGCAGATGGCCTTGCAACATTTACTAGATGTGTTTTATTGATTTGTAGTATTATAAGCTTTCCCCTGCGCTGACTCCATGAAAGTAGACTGGATAAACTCACATTTTATTCCAATATTAGAGGCACCCATATAACTTTCTCCCCTTTATGCTGGGCCATTTTTCTTAGGAATAGGTAGTCATTTTCATGTAATCAGTGTCAAAGTGACTATAAAGAAGTGTGTGCTTGATTTTAGGTCTGCAGATACTGGTTCTGCAAAGATTTTTAAATAAGAAGGCTGGAGAGATTGCTTAGTTTTATGGTGAAGTGCTTGCCACACAAGCTTGAGGAGCTGAGTTCAGATACCTCTTCATACCTGTTCAAAGCTGGGAGTGGTTTATGCCTGTCATCCCAGTGCTGGGGAGGAGGATCCTTGAGCTTGCTTGCCAACCAGTGCAGCCAAATTTGAGTTAGTCATCTTCAGGTTCAGTGAGAGATTCTGTCTCAAAAACAAAGTGGCCTGCAATTGAGGAAGACCTTAACATTGTGTTCTGGACTCCACAGACACATGAGTATGCACACACACACTTATAAACAAAATGAGTTCATCATTTCAAAATGGACCTGTTTAAAAATGTATGTGATAAATAGTTTGCCTTTCTCTGGCAGGATTGCACTGTGGTGAAGGATGTCAGATCTCAAAATACTTAAAAAATTTTTGATGTAAACATTAAATTTTCTCAAAACAGTTGAAAGCATGTTATCTAGTGTATGCATAGATCCCACATAAGAGCAAACAGGTTTCTTATCATGGGCAGGTTTGTGAGCATATTGCTGTGATGTCTGGGTTGTGGTAAGTACCCTTAGGAAGAAGCTCAGGTGCCTGAGGCAAATTTGGGGGGAGTTTGTATTAATGTCAGGAAATATGCAGATATGTTTGCAATTGAAACATAAGCAACCTAGCTATTAATTTACTTTTTAGTTTTCCTGGCAAACTCTAGAATCTCCTGCCTCTTCCAGTGTTAAAGCAAACAAATTAAAGTAGCTCCCTTTAAAATATATACAATAGGATATGTATACATATGCACACATGACATATATACACACACATATGACATACATGGAGTGTATCTACATATATAATATTAACATATGCACTCATATATGTGCATAATCATGAGATACCAACCATTATAAGAACTATGTAAGCTTTACAAAATATATTAGAGATAAGCAAATAGCCAAATCATTCAAGTTCAGTTTGTTATCAAGTTCAAGTTCTGCTATTAGTAATCTGAGAAACTTTTACCTATTTTTACCCACCTGTGCTTAAAAAACAATAGCAAAGTCAGTACTTCTGGTCACTGTGGAAACTTCTTTACCTGGCTCTCGGATTTCTTTTTCTAGCTTCTACAAATGTCCTCAGACAAATCCTCTTTGCTCTTGTATGACTTACAGTCCCAACTTCTGCTTCGTTCTCCTTCCTCTTCCTGCCACAGGGTTTGTTTCTGTCCATTCACTGTTTTCCACAGCCCCTCTGTTTTCAGTGCCAGCTGCTCTCTGGACCATGAACCACTACCTACCAACACGCAAAGGACAGGCAGATAGCATCTCCTGCCAGCTGTGGAGTCTTAGAAGATGCAGACTCAGTGGGCGGGGTCTTTTCTGACATGACGGAAGTTAAGCATTACTTTGTATTTTTCCTCCAACTGTCCAAAGATTGATGGCGGGGCTGGTGGTGATTCGGGCACGTTACTGACCGCACAAACCATCACATCTGAGTCCGTGTCAACAACGACAACCACACACATCACCAAGGTAAAGCAACCTAGGGGAACCCTAGGGAGAGGATGGTACATGGCAAACAGATCTTTTCTGTATTATTCTTGTTTCTGTACACACTTCTAAGTAATACACAGACAGTGCCAGTGAACTAAAATGAGTTTCTTTAAAGTATCCAAGAAATTAGGCTCCAACAACAAATGTGTTTTGAACCAAATTACAGTTTTGTAAAGTACAGGGGGGTAAAAATATGACTAGCTATATTTAAGACAGCTATATGGACAGAAGAAATATTTTAATAAAATTGTGAACTTCTCTCATTTAAAGTTCTAATATGTTGGTTTGAGACATTTTACCCAGAGCCTTTTCTAAACATTTAGTACCTTATAACCAACCCCGTGTGGTCCTAGGCTTGAGAGCATCAGCTGCATCTGGGGCTTGGATGTCTAATAAAAGTCATGACTCACTCCAGACCTATTGAAACCTTGGAGAGAAGCACCCAGCTGATTCTGATGCACTCCAGTGGAATTCAAATCTGATTTTTCTAGCATTGCATTTTGATTCTATTTTTACATTGGATTAGTGCTTTTAATGATCCATTATACCCTTTCCACCCCATGTTTCAGGACGATAATTTAAATAGCAAGAAACTTTGTGGATTAAAAGTGTAGGGTATGTTGATACTCCATTTAACAAATGCTCAGCTGATGGAGCTAGTGGTAAGATTTATTTCTTAGTGAAGGGCCACCGCGGGTGACTTGGTGTGTGGATCGTGAAGGTTACAGAAGTTGCCTGTATGTTTTCTCGGGACTTTTGTATTGGTGGCTGTGTTCTTTTCAAAGGGCTCAGAGGCTCTCTCAGGCCTTCTGCTTCTCCAGCCTGCCCCAGGTGCTCTCAGCTCTGCCTGACCAGGACCTCTGGGAGGCAGTTCCTTCAGGGCCTCCTTCACCCCAGTCTGTCCACACAGCCAGTACACAGTGTATTCTGTGTCCATGTGCATAACACGCATGGAAACGATCATCAGATCAACTTTAAATGAAAATCTCATTTGTTTACCTCAAATCAAACGTTTTAAACTGCACTAAATCAAATGAATGAACTCACTAAAGGAATTTGTATGACTAGAATCAGGCATAAAAACTATAGTATCAATTAATTACCTAAATTGAAAACATACCTAAAATATTTGTAACTCTACAAATGCCAAATAATTATTTCTTCTTTCTACTCTCCTTTTCAAAAATTGGCCAACTGATAGGGAAGAAACTTAGGGAATGTAGTAGATTATCCCAGTGACATTACTTAGACTTTTAAAAATGGCATCTGTTGCATTTTAATCCCAGCAGAATCTTGGTATTTTAAGGGCTGCTTTCAAGTAAAGGATGTGTGTGTGTGCTGTAACTTTAACAGTTGGACTCTGTTGAACTGAAAAGTACGGCACAGAAACTACCTGGAGCCTGAGTCTTGTGCTGCTCTGTATTCTGGTCTTAAGAGGGTCAGAAGCTGGAAGCCGGGCTTTGCTTCTGTTCTCTGTTTACAAGTTCTAGTTATGTTTTCTCTTCTCTTTCTGTGACCTGTAGACTGTAAAGGGTGGAATATCTGAAACAAGAATCGAGAAACGTATTGTGATCACAGGAGATGCCGCTCTTGATCACGATCAGGTAAGGGCCTTTCCTGTCGTGTGTGTGTGTGTGTGTGTGTGTGTGTGTGTGTGTGTGTGATTACCTCCTGTTGCATCTAAGTATGTCGGAAAGACACCTCACAGCCTGCCCTGTAAGCTTTTCTAAGCACATCAGCACAAAACATGAAGTACTGTTTATCTTCCACTGGATTAACATGTAAGATATTGGAAACCTCCGGTGACCAGTAGGAATTCACATTGGCCTGGTTTAAAGACAAGTCATCAAATATTTGTAAACAAATGACAATTATTGACAATGCCCTAAAAGACAAACAAGCCACCAAGGTTTCTTAGGTCTAATTGTTGGACCTTTTCAAGTGATTCTGTAGCGTAAGAAAAGTTGGGATACTGACAAATATTTTTTTGTGTTATAACTTGGGGTAGTAGAGGGAAGGGACGATTGCCTCATATGTCTTTCAATGAAAATTTATATTGATTCTATTTGGTTTTTTTTTTTTTTTTTTTTTTTTTTGGTGTTTTCGAGACAGGGTTTCTCTGTGTAGCTTTGCGCCTTTCCTGGAACTCACTTGGTAGCCCAGGCTGGCCTCGAACTCACAGAGATCCGCCTGGCTCTGCCTCCCGAGTGCTGGGATTAAAGGCGTGCGCCACCACCGCCCGGCCTATTTGGTTTTTTTAATTAATTACTTTTTTTATTATGTACACAGTGTTCTGCCTGCATGTGTGCTTGCAGGCCAGAAGAGGGCAGGATAGTTACCGATGGTCATGAGCCACCACGTGGGTGCTGGGAATTGAACCCAGGTCCTCTGGAAGAGCAGCCAGTGCTCCTAACCTCTGTGCCATCTCTCCAGCCCCGATTCTATTTGTTTTGATACTTGGTTTTTAAAACCAGAACTGTGTTGCAGTTCTAACATAGGTTAAGCTAGATGCAGTGCTTGGGTATAAAGCAGGTAATGAGTGGGGCTGCTGGAGGCTTCATTTTAGACTGGCCGCAAGTGATGAGTCTCCCTCCCTCCCTCCCTCCCTCCATTCCTCTCTCCTGTCGTTGCTTTCCTCCTCTTCTTCCTTCTTCCTCCCTCTCTCCCTCCCCATCTTTCTATCTTTCTTGTTTTTCTTTCTTTTCTTTTTTCTTTTGTCTAATTTTAAGGAGAATGAGGTATTTTTCTCTACAACTTGAAGAAAGGAAGAGAAGTGTTGAGTGGGCCTCTTCTGCTGGAGAATGGGGTCAAATGATAGACACACAACTTTGAACATGGTGCTGCCCGAGAGGGCCACTACTAGAGCTAGGAATTAGTTGCTTGAGAAAGGCTCTGTGTAGGACCAGAAAGGAGGGAACTTGTGACCTTTGTAAACGTGCTATTTTAATTACATGTCTCATTGAGATTCATTTTGTTTGCTTGTTGGTTTATTTTGTTTGCTTGTTGGTTTATTTTGTTTTTAATTTCTGAGGGTTAGAGACAAAGGTTGCTCTAGATGCGAAGTTTGAACTTAAGCGTCAGGGGTTCTTAGGAGATGACTAGTGCATTGCCGTGGAAGAACTGTCTCTGGAACTGACCGTCCACTTTGCCATATAGAGGATGCTTCTACTGCTGCCCACTGGGGCAGTCTAGACTTCCCTGACTCAGATGGAGCACACCCAACTCTCGCATTTCCCCTGACATTCTTATTCAAGAAGTATTTTTTAAATTCCTACAGTGTCCTAGGCAGGAAGACGTGAAAGTTGGAGTATTTTCCCAGCCATTGTTTCTTTAGCCCACTTCCCAAAAATGCAGGCCCTTCCATGCTTTATAATACTTTTCCAGCTGAGTATCTCTTAGGTTTCACCTTTTAACCTGTTTGCCTTTATGTAGCATTGCTCATGAAAGGCAATTATAAGTAACACACATGGAACATACAGTTACTAAAATAACACAATTCTAATTAAAAAGGATGACTCAGTCTCCTTAACTGTTGATGCGAAAGCACACCATCTCTTTTATGCTTCAGCACTGTTAAAGTGAGGTCCGACCTGCATACTTGCCATCAGAAGTTCATGATGGGTTCATTTTCTCCTTAAAGCTGTGCTGGGAGCATTGGAACTATGGAAAATTAGAGGAAATTGCCCCATTGACAAAAACTGATGCTGGTCATAGAGTGACTCCAATGCCATTCACAGTTTTCCTAGTTCCTTATGTTCAAAGGAATCTTAGTAATTAAAATCCTTTATTTGAGTGAGACCAAAAAAGAAATGCCTCACGTTGATGTGTCTGAGAGGCACTCTCTCATAGAAACCGGCTCAGCAGCTCTTCATTCTGTGCAGGTCATGATTTGCTGCTCTGTTCCAAGAAGGAAAAAACTACACTATAGGTACTCTCTGAGCATATCTCTTTCTAATACAGTAGTGCTCAGCCGGGTATGGTCACATGTGTGGTGTCTAACTCAGCTCTCAGTAGAGGACGCCCAAGAAGTTCAAAACTGACCTGACTCTACTGAGACCCAGGTTCACATTTTTTTCCTCTCAGCTTGGCAGTATGATATTTTCTCATGGTCTTTATTATTGCCATAGTAATACCTTATTAACATTTTATTACATTTAATTTCTGAAGCTGATATAGAATGAAAGGAATTACAAGCATAAGTTAAGGTTCAGGCTGGAGAGGTTGCTCAGTGGTTAAGAGTCACTGGCCCTTCTTTCCAGAGGACCTGGGCTTGCTTTTCAGCACCCACATGGTGGATCACAAACATTTGGAACTTTATTTTCAGGAGATCTTACATTCTTTTCTGGCCTCTGTGGACACCAGCATACATGTGATACACAGACATACATGCAGACAAAATACCCATACATACAAAAAAATAAAATAAGGTATGTCTGGTGTTATGACTTTCCTCTTCCCCTTTACTTTGTAGCATTAACTACATTTCATGAACAAAGCTTCAGAGTATATTCTATGTCTTCATTAGGGTGTCTGTTGCTGTTGCTGTGAAGAGACACCATGGCTATGGCACCTCTTAAAAGGGAAAATATTTAGTTGGGACTAGCTTACAGTTTCAGAGGCTCAGTCCATTATCATCCTGGCAGGACATGGCAGCATGCAGGCAGACATGGTGCTAGAGAAGGAGCTGAGAGTTCTACATCTTGATCTGCAGGCAACAGGAAGTGAACTGAGTCACTCTGAGCATAGCTTGAGCATAGGAGAACTCAAAGCTCACCCCCACACTGACACACTTCCTCTAAAAAGGTCACACCTCCTAACAGTTCCACTCTGTTTGGGGCCACTTTCTTTCAAACCACCACACTATATATTATGTTATAAATATATATAGCAGAGAGAGACTGTAATGTGATCCAGTAATTCATTCATCCCCAGAGCAAAAGAAACAATGCACTGCTTTTTACTGTTTTCAGATACCTCGTTTCCTTATATAATGAGGTGGTCTGTATCTTAGAAGAGTTTTTTTTGTTTGTTTGTTTTATTTTTATTTATTTATTTTTTTAGAATTCTTTCCTAGACTTTGTTCTTCTGTGCTTCTTGGTTTTTTGTTTTTCTTCCAAAACTTCTTTACAAATAAAATTGACAATAATTAAGAAAGATATGTCTTCCTCTTAAAAATAGGATCTTTCAGTGTTACAGTTTGCTCTCTGCTTTCTTATTTCTTGCTACCTTGTCCATGGAAGATACCGTGAAGCAGTGTAGTTACAGTCTGGGTCCTCCCCATGCTATCCTAATGCTGCTAGCTTGAGTTTGAGAAGGAGCCATTAACCTTGGGTCTTGAGCTGCAAAGAGGGGCCGGCAGGAGCTCAGTCTGTCAGTGTTCTTTCTCTTAATGATTGTTTTTATTGTTATTGCTGTTCTTTATTTCTGCCCCCCTACAGGTTTATAGGTATTTGTTTTCCTATAATGTTTTAGTATGATATGCTTAAATTTGGACAGTTACTCAGTGTCTTAGATGGCAAAGATGAGGAGGTCTGGTCCATGTCTTGGAGTTTCCAGCTATTGTATGGGAGCTACTATCATTTGATTGTATAGATGAGGCACTATACTTGTTAGTTGATGTTATTACCTAGATTCATACAGCACACCTCAAAATGATATGTATTGCCGTAGCATTAGTCTAGGCTTCCAGGTAAGGATTAGATAAAGCTCAGAGAAAAGCCATGCTCTCCTAATACCACAGTGAGAATGAGCCTGGGTTTCAAAGCCAGTGTGTTTCTCCTACATGCATCACCCCTTGGAATGCACAGGAAGGACAGGAAGCCAAGAAAATGGCTGGTGTTCTCTGAATGATCAGGGAATCCAGTTTAGATGTTCCTGTGACTGTAAGTGAAGACACAAGAACAGTTTGGCTGGAGCCTGTGTCTTGTTGATGGAGGTGCATGTATTCTACCCTCTTTAGGCAGAACCAAATACTCAGCTCATGATTGTTCTTCTGCCCCATAGGCGCTGGCTCAGGCGATTAGGGAAGCCAGAGAGCAGCACCCTGATATGTCGGTCACAAGGGTGGTGGTGCACAAAGAAACAGAGTTGGAGGAGGAAGGAGAAGAATAAGGTAAGCGAGCCTGGTCATCCACAGCCTTCCCTGTGACCGTTCTGTGATCCTGTGCTGTGCAATTCTGTCATATCAGGGTCTTTGCTTTCTTTAGTTTGGATGATTTTCTTCAGGTTGTTGTTATCTCCAAGTGCAACTGCTCAACTGTGGATAATCAGACTCTCTGTGGTCTGGTGGTCGTCTGGTGCAAACGACTGTGCTTACAGAGGCTGCTAGCCATCGGCGTTCCTTCTCTGTCAAGTGTACTAGTGTAGTCTGTAGTTAATGTCCACAGTGACCATTGGAGGGTGGCGCTGTACCTCAATATCAAAGAGAGATTTATCTCGTAGGAGAGATAATGAGCCAAGTCTTTTAAAAATTGTGTATCAAACAGTGATCTATAAAAAAAGCATAATGCTTATATTACCTAAAAGCTGAAAGTTTTAGTTGGACCAAGCAGGGAAAGTAATGATAAATGATGTTTAATATAACCAGCAGAAAAGGATTAATATCTCAAAAAGTTAAGAACGCTAAAGCAATATTAAGAAAATTTAAGCACTTCTAGAGAAAAATGGGCTGAAGATTATACAGGTAAACCATGTAAAAACTAAGTGAACCATAAACAAAAATCTTTGGCCTTTACTATATTGCTTAAATCAGTAAAAAATTAAAAGTCTATGGAACATTTTTCACTGAAATGGCAAAAATTTAGGTTTTAACCAGTGTTGGAAGGTTATGAGAAGAAACCATATTCACATACTAATGTATGTTATTTCTTAGAAGATAGTTGGGTAAAAATCTATCTCCAAGTATTTACATTAAACTTGCCTATCTTTAAACTACCTTTAAGAACTTTGTTGGGGCTCAGCAAGTAAACACTCTTGCTACTGGCTAGACAACCTCACTTCAGTCCCCGGGACTCACTTGCTGGGAGAAAAGACTCCTTCAAGTTGTCCTCTGACCGTGATGTGTGTGCTATGACGGAAACACCCTCACAGAAACACATATGTGTGCACACTAAATACATAAATATACTAAAAATTAAAAGCAGTAAATTTGCTTAAATACTTTGGGATGCTTGCTGATATTCCTTTTCAGAGTCCTTTATATTGTGTCTTTTGAAAAGCCAGTCGAATTTATCAATGAGGGGCCTATATGTAACTATAGTGATACCAGTGTTAGTATCAATAACTCCTTAACATCAGACCACTTCACACTTGTGTACTAGTAGTAAGACATGAGACAATTTAAATGACCAGTAGTATGGAATTAGTTATTACACCAGTTCCATGCAATGACTAAAAAATTCTTGATGAAGTGCATAATTATGACATTTATCTGTTAGGATTTTATAAATCAGGTCTTACCACATAGAGTAGTAAGATTACTTTAAAAGTCTGTACGTTGACCAGTCAGAGGGCAGAGAACTCCTGGGAATGGTGATGCCATGGAGTATTTCTTTTCTGCCTCGCACAGTAAAACCATTTGCTCGTCTATCTACGGAAAGTGATGCCCTTACTAGTTCACAGCCTCAGTTCTGAGATTTGCATTCTGCTGATTTAGTGGACAAGAATTGATCCATAACTGTGATTGTAATTTTAGTTTCTTCCATATCTTTTTGAATGGTTATGAGCCACTCATTTTTTCTGTGAAAATAGGAATAGCCAGAAAACTCAAAACATTTCTATGAAATACTTGTTTGCTTTTTTAAAAACCTGTTTTTTTCTTTCTTTCATTTATTGTTTTTTTTAAATTATTTATTTTTTGTGGGTCTGATTGTTTGCTTTTATGTTTGCATGTCCTCTCACATGCATGCCTAGTACCTTCAGAGGCCAGAAGGGGGCACAGGAGCCCTTGAAACTAGAGTTACTTGTAGTAGAATGTTCTTTTAAGGTGTGTTACTTTTGTTTATGTTGCATTTGTTTAACTCTGTGAAAATGTGTTACTGTGCCTGATGGTCTAATAAAGAACTGTCCAGTAGCAAAGCAGGATTGAAAGGATAAGCGGGGCTGGCAGGCAGAGAGAATACACACACACACACACACACACACACACACACACACACACACACACACACACGGAGGAATGAGGAGATCTAGCAGCCAGAGAAGGAAGAGTACTCCAGGGACCAGTCATCTAGCTACACAGCAAGCCACAGAGTAAGAATTACAGGAGTAAGAAAATGGGAAAACCCTAGAGGCAAAAGGTTGATGGGATAAGTTAAGTTAGGGAAAGCTGGAAAGAACCAAGCCAAGCTAAGGCTGGACATTCATAAGTAATGATAAGTCTCCATGTGTGAATTTATTTGGGAGCTGAGTGGTGGGGCCCCCAAAAGAGCAAAAATAGCCAACCACAGTTACTGGTGGTTGCAAGCTACTGTGTGGGTCCTGGGGCTTGAACACAGGTCCTCTGCCACAGTAGTGAGCACTTTTAGCCACTCGGCCATCATTCCAGCCCCTACTTATTGATTCTTAATACTAAGTCTTTGTGATGTTTTATGTTACAGATATTGTGAGGCTCGTGGTGTTTCTTTCATCTCTAGTGTGATTGAATTTATAAGCTTTCCTTTGTGGTTTATGCCCCTTTTGTACTCTGGAGTATTAACCATACTTTCCTTCTGAACATGTCGATATTCCAATTCACATAGCAGGTATTACGCTACCTTCGCTTGCTTTTCCTTTGCCCTGAAAAGCAGTGGGAGCATCTCAGCACTGTGTATCAGTAGCTGGCCCTGGTCCTCTAAGCTGTGGTGTCTCGGCTCAGCTGCTTGTGTGAAGGTGTGTTCTCCGTGGTCGGTTTCCTTTGGTCCATGTGCCATCCCACCTCACTGCCTCACTGTCTTCACCGTGTAGCTTCATACTGGGTCGTGATAGCTGTAGCATGTGTGCCCCCACTTGGGTTCCTTTTGTTCCTTCTTGGTTCTTTCTTGCCATATAGATTACTAAGTCAGCTTGCTAATTCAGTTCTGTATTTTTAGTTTTTTTTCCTCTCCTTTTTTATTTTTCAGTGTTGGAGAACAAACTAGGGACTTACACACACTCAGCCAATGAGCTGTACCCCTAAACCTGTGAGGTTGTCATTGGAATTATGTCTTCCTTATCCAGGGCCATATGGAGAGAATTGCAGCTTTGTGATATTGTCTTTGTGGTCATGAAATGTCTTTCAGTAAACTTAAATAATTTTTAACCAGTTATAGTCTTATAAATCTTATCTAAATACAGTTGATCTTTCTATATTGACCTTGTATCTAACTACTTTATATCTTAGATACTCTCTTCAATGCAGAGTGTATAAATGAATTGTTTAAAATTTTAGAAAAACCATAATATCCAGTTGCTTAAATTAATAAACTTTGTTATTTGTAATGTTGGTCTATATCTGAGATGTATTTTGTTGATAATTTTATATGTGGAAGACTAAGAACACTCATACCTTGGACTCAAAAGACTATTAGGTTTTAATATCGCCAGGTAGAAAACTAGATGATATTGGACAGATCAATGGGATGGTACAATTTATCTTTATTAATTCATAGGATTACCTTAAGCATATAGTAAGATGTTATGGAAAATAGTGTACAAAGGTGTCTTAGTTAGTGTTTCTGTTGCTGTGATGAAACACCATGACCAAAAAGCAAGTTGCACAGGAAAGGTTTATTTGGCTTAATGCTTCCACATCACAGTTCATCATCAAAGGAGGTCAGGACAGGGACTCAAGCAGAGTAGGGATCTGGAGGCAGGAGCTGATTCAGAAGCCATGGAGGATGCTGCTTATTGGCTTGCTCCTCATGGCTTGCTCAGCCTGCTTTCTTAGAAAACCCAAGGCCACCAGCCCGGGGATGGTAACACAACACCCACAGTGGACTGGCCCCTCCCACATCAATCACTAATTATGAAAATGCCTTACAGCGAGATCTTATGGAAGCATTTTCTCAGTTGAGGCTCCCGCCTCTCTGATGACTCTACCTTGTGTCAAATTGACATAAAACTAGCCAGTATAAAAGATAAGGTAGGAAAACTGTGTTACTGTTCCTCTGAATATATATAAAATTGGACGAGTCAGTTAAGGTTAAGAAAGCTGGCTCTGTTTACAAAGGACCTGTGTGGTTTCCCAGACCCCCCCACATTAGGTAGCTGCCTATCTTTCTAGCAACAGGGAATCTAGTGCAAGGTTGCTCTTCTGGTCTTTGTGAGCATCCAGATAGATGTATTTTTTTTTTTATTGAAAATCAATTTTTTTCATATAATATGTTCTGATTATAGTTTCCTGTCCCCTAATTCCTCCCAGATCTTCACTACCTCACCACCCACCCAAATCTGTTCTCTAAGTAAGATATAAACAAACCAGAATAGAACAAAAAAATTAAAAAAGCAAAAGAAACACATACAGATGCAGAGACACATTTGCATGTATAGAAGATCCATAAAAACAAAACTGGACCTCCAAAAATAGCGTTGAGTTTCTCTTGTGTTGGTCATCTACTGCTGGGATTGGGATATGCCCTTCAGTGTGCTTTGTATACCCGCTGGAGAAAATGAATTTTTCCTTTGCAAGCTGTTGTCAGTTGGAGGTTGCTTCTGGGTTAGGGATGGGGGCTTTTATCCACTTCCCCTCTTGGCATTGGGACCCCATCTGGCTTTGACCTGTGTAGACCCTGTGCCTGCAGCCACAGTCCATGTGAGTTCATATGTTTGTGTGTCATGTAACTATTCTATTTCCCGCCCAACCCTTAGTCTATAACCAACTTACGAATTGTAGCCTGCTTAGCAACGATTTAACAGCTCATGTCCACATACAAGTGCATATAATACTCTATTTGTGGGTATAGTCTTCTTTTGGTCACTTCTTATAGTCACCCAAGTTGGTTTTCTTGTTGTTGCTGTTGTTTTGTTTTTGTAGTTCCTGATTTCATTTTCTCTCTCTCTAACAACTGAGTAATCCTTGATTGTGTAAATGTACCACATTTCTTTTACCCATTCATCTGTCGACAGACATCTAGTCTGTTTACAATTTCTGGCTGT